GCCGAGGTGCCAGTGCCGGTGCCGGTGCAGGTGGTGGCACAGGGACGTGGCCGCTCCTCACCCGTCCCCGCGTGACGCCATCAACATTTCTAATTCCGCCTTCCCCGGGGTTTGGGATTTGAAAACACCCATTTGCCTGATGATTCTTGTTTCTGTCCTTTGCCTGCTCTTCTGTTGGGTTCTCTCTCTTGTTATTGCTGAACTGCGTGGGGGTTTGCCGCGCGGGGCCAGGTCCTCAGTTGCGCAGTGAAGGCCGGACGGTCCACGGGGAGGAGCGGTGGCTGCGCGGGAGGCTTTTATACACTGAGCAGCTCAGAGCGATGCTGGCTGGTAGGGGTCGGGTTCGAGAAGAGGACTCGGAGATGATCATTAGTGGAGCGGGGGATCCGGCGGCCTTGCTCTGTGAGTGGAGGGGGTGGTGCCGGGGACCAGAGAAGCCACGGGCAGAGTCAGCAAACGCTTCAGCGCTTCACTCCGACCCTCCCCTGGAGTCTCTGCGAGGAGTGACAGACAGGGTTTAAGGCTAAAGCACAAAAGTGGGGACATCGCCCCCAAGTGCCCCTCGAGGTTGAAGACTTCGATCTGACTCGGGTTCCTGGAAGGTCTCTGTAGCACGCGTCCGGGTTTGTCTGTTTGCACGGCAGGACGGCCCCAGGCCTGCTGCCTCGGTTGTTGCTGAAGCCAGCGATCTCTCCTGTGTTTGTAAACCAGCGTCTCGTCCGTTACTCGGTGCGGCGTGGAGGCTCCTACATGGCTGCTGCGTGGCCACGGGGCTCGGCTGCCAGGCGGTGGGTCCGTCTGAGATGCTGCGCCCTTGGCGGGCGGCGGCCAGTGCACGTCACACCCGGACCCGCTGCCTCCTGGTCCCTCGAGTGTCTGCCCGCGTGCCCGGAGGGTGCCCCGCTGAGGGAGCAGGGGCGGATGCGGGCGGGGCCCGGTGGTGGCTGCCGACAGGTGCCGCCTGAGGGTGAGCAGGGAGAGGCTGTTTCGCAAATGGGCCGCCTTATCCGTGGGACTCGGTCCTGGCCTTCCCCGGGGCCGTGGGCCTCCGGTTCGAGGTGCCCACAGCGGCTGCGACTCACATCTTCAGTGCAGTGAGCTTCCTAAAGGCACGGGACAGCGTCCAGGGACCAGAACGAGCTGCAGATGGTGTCCTCCTGGGCTCGGGGACGTGGGGTGACACAGCCCCCCTTTAACCATCAGAAGCTCTGAAGGAGGCCCGAGGGGACAGGTTCCCCCTGGGACTGCGGAGACTGCAGGGGGGACCAAGCGCTCAGCTCCAAGGGTGGCCTTTCGGGTCCTTTAGACGTTAGCTCTGCCCCCTCGTCAGCGGCGTCTCCGGCTGAACTGGCCTCCGCGTGTGCGGCGGGTCCCCATGTGCAGCGGGTCCCCATGTGCGGCGGGTCCCCATGTGCGG